TTCTTTCCTTAAGACTGTATAATTAGAAAAACTTTATTTAATCAACAAGAGAATTACATGAAAATTTACTATTATTTACTGCAGTTCCCTAATATGAGATGTTTCATAGATAGATTTAAGGATGCCAAATATGACAACATGTTAAATTAACCCTCTGAATAGTGCAGGTTTTTATATCTGTCAAAAAGACCCATATTTAAACAAAATTCATTAGCTAAACTTGTACATATCTTATTTTAATCTTTATTTTCATAAACTTACATTCGTTAAGATAATATTCACTTTATTATAGAAACTAAGCAAACAAAATTATCTTAAATCATAAGCTAAGATACACTGTACAAAAAACCTCATGCTGAAGAAAGCCACTCAGAAGGTTGTTCTTTTTATTTCCTTATACAAAGTAGAAAGGAAGTATTGTAATCGCAAAAATTTTAAGACCTCTTATTTCAATGAAAATATCCATTCTGACCGCTATCGAATGCAATTTAACAATGTTTTTGTGTGACATCTATACATAAGGACAGAATAAAAGACTCTTTTCCTCAAAAAAGTTATAAAACTGATTTAAAATGAATTCTGAAGAGAATTTTTAGTGGCATCTGTACGTACGTACGTTCCTGCATAATTCAAAAACGAGTAGCCTCAGAATGTTGAAAATATTTATATACGACTGTTATAACATGTAGATGTGCACCTCGTTTTTTTGGTTACAATTGGCTGCTCGTACTTTGCTTGCAATCAGCTGTATATATATATATACGCTTGATATATATATATATATATACGCTTGATATATATATATATATACGCTTAATATATATATATACTTGGTGTGTATATATATATATATATATATCCTCTGTTAACTGGCTCAGTGATCTCAGTTTCATTACTCTTAATGTGAAGTTGTCATTTTTGCTAAAATATCTTTGTGTTCTTTCTTGGTAAGATTCACTTTGTAACGCACATATTGGGAGTATCAACTTTAAAGTTTTAAGTGCAATTGCTAATGCTTGCGAGGAGAAGTTGTTCATCAGATGCAAACTGTGGCCGCGGGCTGCGGCCCACAACAAATATTTTTGCGGCCCGGCCAATATATCGGCAAATAATAATATATAATAATAAAATAACATATCGACGAAGAAAAAAATGAAATGTTTACTGCTAAGTAATTAACGATAATTTATTCAGTGTTGTTAGATTACTCACAGCGAGCTGACACACACACTACTTAAATTACAAATGCGTGTGAGTAGCTTGCGTTCAGCTACCTTCGGCTTTTGGGGGACACGTGCACTCAGAACTTGTACGCATCCCCGATAGCCGAATGTGGCCGAACTCATGGTCTCAGTTTTCCAATCATAGTTTTGTACGATATATTGGTGCATGCATTTTGCTTTATTATTAATTATTACTTAATTCATATTGTTACGGATTTCATAGTTATTTATTTATTTAGTTTTTTTTTTTTATTTAGAATTGTAATTAGATTTGCTTCATGTTGCCTTAGCAACGCAGACGATTTTTGAAAAGACAGCTGCGTTGGAAGGTTAAAAATAGAACAGCGCGTGCATTTAATACCTAATAAATAAATATCTCGTAATTGCTGTTGCCATCCACAAAAATCCAGATATTTATAGATGTTTCCAGTATATTCGAGAAATTAATTATAAAGCTTATAAAAGCCGAGAACAAACAACTCATCTCAGTAGTAGCTGTAGTTCTAGCGAACTGTTTGTTTACTTAATGCTGTGATTGATTTGTAGCGATTTCGCTGTGAGATAGAATTAATTAGTTTCTCTGTTTTGAATTGATTTTTGCTAAACGTTTGACATTTTTGTGATATTGTTAGAATATTTTTGAAGAAATATTTCAGCATTTTGATTTATCTCTTGTGGAAAGAATAAATTTTTGTTAACTTTTTAACGTTAACCGTGTTTATTCCAGCCCTTTGTATTCAGTATGTCTATATCAAAACCAAGTGGTAGTAAAATTAAACGAAAAATCGCTGACGAACATAGAATATTCCAAGTAAAATGGGAATTAGAATATTTTTGCTGTGAAATAAAAGATAAAATAATCTGCTTGATATGTAATAATACTATTAATGTACCAAAGTTATATAATATTAAACGTCATTACGAACAACACAAATCGAAATATAACAATTACGAAGGATTAATGAGAGAAGAAAAGTTGAAAGAGCTCAAGTTAGGAGTGAAAAAGCAACAGTCCATGTTTAGTAAAGTATTGCAAGAAAGTGAAGCGGCGGTACATGCAAGCTACGTCTTGTCCGAGTTGATAGCTAAACATTCGAAGCCTTTTACTGACGGTGATTTCATCAAGGAATGCCTAATGAAAGCTGGAGAAATTGTTTGTCCTGGAAATGTGAAGGCTTTTCAATCAATTTCATTGTCTCGAAATACAGTTGCGGAAAAAGAGTTACTGATTTAGCCGCGAATTTAAGTGATCAGATCAAAGCAAAATCATCTAGTTTCGAAAGTTTCTCCATTGCCTGTGACGAGAGCACGGACATTAGTGGCAAAGCTCAATTAGCAGTGTTTTCTTCGTTCTTGTGACAAGAATTTTAACATTTTTGAGGAATTACTGGAACTAATACCGATGCCTGGTACTACCACAGGAGAAGATATATTTACTTGTGTTTTTGGACTTCTGCAGAAATACAATCTACCTTTGGCAAAATTAAATTCTGTAGCTACAGATGGCGCTCCATCAATGACCGGGAAAAAACAAGGGCTTCGTAGCATTACTAAGAAAAAAACTTAGTGAAATTCACGGTTCAAACATTCATCATATGCATTGTATTATACATCAAGAAGTTCTATGCACGAAAGTAATAAATATGGAGAATGTTTTGTCATATATAAAAAAAGTTATAAATTTTATAAGATCTCGAGGTTTAAATCAGCGTCAATTCACTGCTTTCTTAAGTGAGTTAGATAGTGAATATTCGGGTTTGTCCTACTATACCGAGGTACGTTGGTTATCTTGCTCCAAGATTCTCAAACAATTCTGGGATTTGAAAGAAGAAATATGTCAGTTTTTTTTTAAAAACGAAAAATCAAGACGTAAGTTTGTTTTACGATCCAATATGGATACAAGATTTATCTTTCTTGGTTGATATAACCAAACACTTAACCGATTTAAATTTATCGTTACAAGGAAAAGATCATATCATTACGAACATGTTTGACATAATTAAAGCATTCAAATGTCAACTAGTTCTTTGGGAAAAACAACTTAAAAATGAAGATTTGACGCACTTCCCGACGTGCAGCATGAACAAATCAAGTTTAGATGATACTTGTTCGTATCAAAAATACGCAGAAAAAATTGCAAATTTAACAACTGAATTTGAAACGAGGTTTAATGATTTTAGTTCCCTCGAACACAATTTTTTTTTTGTTTTGTTTTGTTTTCTTCGATTTTCTCAATAAGTATTGACTCAGTACCCAGCCATATGCAAATGGAGGTGATCGAGATTCAATGCAACTCAAATTTGAAAGCAAAATTCATTGAAGTGGGCGTGCCTGAATTTTACAAATATTTACCAGCCAGGTTTGAAAATACTCGAAAATTCGCATATGAAATTATTTCCATGTTTGGTAGCACTTATCGGTGCGAGCAGTTATTTTCAGTCATGAAAGGTAATAAGTCTCCTATTAGAAACCGTATTAATGATGCTCACCTTGGGTCAGCGTTGAAAGTTATCACTGCAAACAAAATTTCTCCCGAAATAGGAAAGATAATAGCAGAGAAGAGATGTCAAGTATCAGGACGTAAACATTAAATTTTTCTTGTTCTTTTCTATATAAATATATATATATATGTTTATTATTGTATTATTCGAAATAAATCTACGTTTCTATGAATATTGATTTTTTTTTTTTTCGGCCCGCCTAAAGTTAAACCTTGTTTGTTTGGCCCAAGTGTACCTATGAGTTTGACATCCCGTTAATTTATTGCAAAGAGTTGAAATTAGAATCTAAAACAAAAAAGCTTTTTTTTGCAATTAAATGCTAATTCTGGATTTATTTAGACAATTTTTAATACAGAATAGTTTTAGTTTTTGCTTATAATGAGACGAATAGTGAATGGAATAGAATCGTCTGTGAAAAACAGTTTGTTTGTTTTGTTTGCTTAATTTCTTTTATACATTGTTTGAGATTTATTATAGTATTTTAATACAACATGTGGCAATGATTAAATATAAATTTTGAGTATTCTGAGTTATAAAATGAATGAAATGCAACTCTGTTAAGTGAACCTAGCGCCACAGTGTGACTACGGTAAACAAATATAGTGAATTTTAGAGTTCATTTATTTTATTATGGTTTTAATAAGTTTAAATGAAATGCAAGAAAAAATGCATACAATTTAGTATTCCATACAAGGAAGTATGTGGTGTACACATCAGATTTTTCTAGTGGTAAACTACTTTACCACAGATAACTTCTGCTAAAATGACCCTGATGCCAAACCTAGCAATTCATTACAAAGATAATTGTTCCCCACAAGTGCAAGTGTGGATTCTTAAGCTTGCAAAATCTACTTTAAACATTCAACATAGGTCAAGATGGCAAAGAGCATCACATATGCTCTCTGAAAATCAAATAGAATTGATATGAAATGTAATTTATTCTAACTTATCACAGAAGTAGCTTATTGTAAATTATCCCAAAATATATTTAAAGCAAAGAATGAACACGGTAAAATATACGTATTTAGATGAAGCAAGAAACTTTGAGAATATCACTCAAAGTTAAAATGAATCAATACAGAAAAAAGTAAATTAATTGATGACCTTTTTTTATAAAAAGGATTTAAATGAAATTAACAGTTTACACTAGCTACATTACAATCAGAAGCAGTTACATGAGCTACGTAACAGCCTGCTGTTATCACATCGAAGCTGGCTACATTCAATATTGAATCTTCTTTATTTTATCAAAAACATTTGTTTGTATTATTTACAGCTGATGACAAAAACCTTTCTTGTAACAGTGTCTCTAGTTCCATATAAAACTACATTGACAGAGGCTGAGGAAATACTCTTTAAACCACTGAAGATGGTAAGTTATTCATTCTTTCATTACTTTGAAAATCCAGCAGAATGTTTTTGTAATAATAGATCTAAATGTAACATAAAATTCCATTCAGATAACATCAGAAATTTTTTATATTTTACCTATTGCTAATAACTGTTTCCTTATCATTAAGTAATTCCTCCATGCACTGATAAACTTTTATAAAATTAATTTACTCTTTGTAAAAGAGGAAAATCAACAAAATAATTAAACAAAATTGTTATTAAATTGAATTGATTATTAAAAAAGGGGGTTTCATGAAGTGATTTTCTATATTAAAAAGGAAATTAGTACTGTTTTTCTGAGGTAGAATTGACAATCTCATTACTTGTCCAGTGATCTTTTCATTTCCTCTAAACAGAATGCATCCTTCCTTTAACATTATTGTTTAACCTGTACCTTTATGCTAGTTTCGATAGTCTCTCTGTCTAACCATTTAATTTGTATGACTGTGTTAGTTACTTACAGTGTTAATTTAAATTTTTTACAGTTCTGTACTTTTTCATTCTTTCACAATTAAAAATATTCATGTAAACTTAACTAAAATGCTACTTTTTTAGAATATTCTCTGGATAAAAAAAAAGAAAAAAATTTCCAAGTTTTCTTAAAAGGTTTAGTTTATAAAATGTGCAAAATAAGATAACACTGTGATACAGGACAAAAAATATAACAAGTATTTTTTATAGAAATTATGTTTTTAATTGTATGATGCAATTAATAAGCAACAAGTACTCAATTTCATACACATTAAACCAAGACCAAATAATAAATACAAATGCATTACAAATCAGCTGAATAACATTTCCAAAAAGACAGAAGATCAGTAGTTATTAATTGATAATATACTAGTCGATTAAGTTGATAATGGCAGTCTCAAATGCACTTAGTTAAAAGTAACCTTGTAACTGCTGTTGAAGCTCTTGTTTCACAGAGTCAGGAATTAATTCTAAAATAAAAATCTTCATTTTGTAAGATACAACACCTTAACAGTTTAAAATAAAGGAAAAAAAAAAAAAAAAAAACTTAAATAAAGACTAATAATAGCAAAAAATATAAAGCATTGACATCTCAAACCATTTCAATGAAACGAGCCAAATTTTTATAAAAGGGAATTAAAATAGTTACGTACTAGTTAATAGGTAACATAAAAAATGTATGTTTATGATATATCAGATTTTAATATATGTTTATAGCAGTCCACGAATAAGTTTAATGAAAAACAATATTGACAATGTATTTCACTACTTTGGCTATAATGAAAATATAGATTATATCCCATAACTTTCAGGAGAGGTTAAGAAAAACCCACTTTATCAATTAACAATGAATCTGTTTAGTTCATATTATTCTGCAGCCTTTTGTATTAACTTACTTTATATATTTATTTCAATGCATATGAAATACTCCAAAGCAGCGGTTTCCAAACATTTTGGTTCAAAGAGCACTTTTTAGAAACATTTCCTCTGATGGAGCTCCTTAGGTCTATCCAGTGTCTTATAAGTGTTTAAGAATAGTATTACAGGGGTAGGAAAAAAGCATAGATAGTAAGGGAATGTAAAGTACTGAGATATCAAAATAGTTGATCAATGTCCATGAAAAGAAACTATATTTAATTTTTTATAATTTACCAAAATATCTCAATTTATTCACAGCATGATATTTTCTAAAGTTAGCTATACATAAAATTCTTTCAAACCTCAATGAATCAAATCATTTTGTATTATAACAGACACTTTACATTATTGCTGAAAGCATCATTAACACTTTAATTCCTGCATACCCACCAGTGGATTAATGATAGGTTTGTTTTGGAGGCCTCATGAGACAGATAACTACTGATCTGGGTCACAGCAACATTCAGGTTTGTGGCTACATATATCACTGGTGAGTCACCTTTTCTGTAGTTTCATATAGGAATAAAAATTTCTTCAGCCTCAATTGCACCAATCACTAAATTGGTTTTTGTGCGAGTTAGCAGTTAATGTCTTAAGATCATTGCAAAAAACTTGGTTCCTGCAAGTTAATGATTAAAGGCAAACATATACAAATAGATATTCATTCACTATTTCTTATTTGAAGTGTTCATTACTCATTATACAAGACATTTAATTTTACTGTGAATACAACTATAGTGCACTGTAGCTTTAAATTAAGATGTATGTCATTGAAAAAAAAACCTTTAAAATGTTAAATGAGCCATCTATGGTTGCATTTTTGTGCACAGGTTTCTAATTTTACATTCAACTGTTCGTAACTGAAGCAAATGTCTTATTCTGCAATAACATCGATTTTTGATAAATTGTTTAGGTATAAGCAGCAAGTTCAGCAAGATTCTGAATTCATCTTGTATGCAGCCAAAACTCCAATTACTATGGTTTAGAAATGCAATTTTTAGTTTGCTGCGAGATGTTGAATCTATTCAAATCTAATCAATCGTATTCCATAGTGTTTATGCTGGCTAGCTTTTTATTCATATTGAACACATTCAGTACCCATTAAACATCATACAAGCATCTTCTCTTGGGGTGTCAGAAAATAAAATTCAAATGCATCTTTAAAAGCTTCAATATAAGCCTGAATTTTTTAAAAATATGTTTCTTAATTTTGATGTTATTTTCTTCCAAGAAGACTTTTATACGATGGATGCAATCATTATTTTCCTTTTGAAGCACATCACTTAAACAAATTTATCATAAAAGATACTCTGGCATTTAAATCAAAAATTATGACATTCTCCCCTAGCAGTTATAGGTACATTTTGATACAAGTTTTGACCAATGTGACATTTTACACACTCATTCTTCAACGTTTTTAATCTTCATTAATGCATTGTTATGGTCCATTAAAAAGCTACTGCTGTGCATGCAGCTTCAGCAAATATGTCAAAATGCTTTTCCTCAAAACAACCATCTTACCTCAGTGCACAGTAGGAGGAACTCCAGTGGTTTCTTGAATCTGCTTTTAAGAAGTCATGATTTTACACAGTATATTATTTTCTTTATTAAACAGTTAGTAGCTACACAACTAAACCCCCAAAGAAATCAAATACACAGAAAACTTGTATAAGAATCATTAAGAAAACACAGCATTATTGGAATGAGTATTCACAATAAAGTGACTTGAAATCGACTAGCTGAAAACTTAGCAACGAATTTATACGTTGCTAAGTTTCAAGATGCTGTGAATAGATTCCAGAATTCTCATAAGACTGAGAATGAGCAAGTTTCTTGGAATCTCAGTTTCAAGGAATGGCGAAGTGTCATCTACTAGGGGAGAGATGAAACATGCTTCACTTTATTTCTTATGATATCTTTAATTTTGTGTACTGCACTTTTGTACATCTATAGTAACACAAAAGAATTCTAGCAAATGGGGAAGTACCGAAAAGTTTCTCAAACTGCAAAAGTCTCTGATGGAAAGGAGAATTCATGTGAATCATTTAAAGAATATCAGACTTATTGATTAGGAAAATTCATCAAATAAGGACAGTGGAATCAAACTTCAGTCAGTATTTCAGTTTCATTTTGTTGATATCTCCATGGCTCCTAAGGAATTGCAAATGGAACTGATTGCTACTAATAAAGCATGATGAAATCCCAAAGATAATACAGTAAAATCTTCAATTTACGCTAAGTAAAATGCAATAAAATAACCATGTATTTAGCAAAAAGAATACAAAATGCTTTCTTTTTTTTTTAACCACTTATTGTGATCAATATATTTCTCCTTAATATGACCAAAATCAACATGCCTAATAGCCTCAGATGATGGATACTGACCTTAATGTACCAGCTAAAAGCAACAAATTTCCATGCTACAACCAAATACTTAAATACTTTCTTACAAAAAGCAATCACAAGTAAGTTATTAAAAGGTTTTTATTTAACTTCAGTCTCTTACTGCTCAACACTCTCATCAATATCATGGACTGTAGTAGGTATCCCTATTTACTCAGAAATGATCTTAATGTTCTAGATCTTATTAGGAAAACCAGATGCCACACTAGCAAGCATTGCAAAATTTCAGATTTTTTTAGAGTGGGTCAGAAGGGATGTTTATAACATATATTTAGCAATGATTCTGAAATAATTGATTTTGTATAGCACAGGTAGTGAATTCAATAACAGAAGTAATGAAGCTATATGGAAGTGATGAAGCCCTGGCCATGTATGGCATGAGTCTCCAGACTGCCTGCTCATAATAATTCTTAATAAATTATTTATAGAAATTTATAAATCAATAAAAACTGGCATTTTGTTATTAAAATCTATATAAAGAAAGAAAAAAAATCTTGGCACAATATCCACATTGACTACTTTATAAAACTTAAAATTTTTCTGTATCAACTCACTCATTATCTTAAAAATAATCACAATACACCTAGGAACATAATTTTTTTCAAAAACCATTGGAAATTTTCATGAAGATTAACTGGTTCTTTAAATTAAATCAAAATTAACTCAAAATTTTCTATAATATATTTTTGTTATATCAAAATAAACAATTACAAAAATAATTAATTAAAACACAAATACAACTAATTTATGTAATTACTAATTTTAAGCTCAAGATTTTTCTATCCCATGGTAACAGGCAATTAGTAGATTTTTCACGAAATTTCAAATTTTGAATTGAATCAAATTGAAAATTTTTGAATGTTGCCTTATTAGGTAATGGGTTAATTTAATTTACTTTCCAACATGAAAAGTTTCCTTAACTTTGGACTGAGGTACAGAAATATAAAAGAATGACATTTTGTTAAAAGTCTCCAACCATGGAAATTCACATATGAAACATATCTTACCTTTAGCTTTTGGTGTTACTTCATTTAAAAGTTCATCAACTGTAAGATTCTCAACACCTCTTTCTCTTACAGTACCTATTTAGGCAAAATAAACAATAACTTCTTAGCTAATAATAAAGCATAAGTTAAAGCAAAATGTATTAAGGTATAATTAACCTGCAAAACATAAGAAGAATATTAAAAGAAAATATAAATCAGGAGTGCTACAAAACTTCATAAATTTTTAAGATATTAAATTTTAGCTGAGTATTTAAAAACTTAATACTGACTAAATTGTCAATGACATACTTCATATATCAGACACATAATAATGCATTTTTTTGGAATTATCATTACTCTTAACAAGATAATAATATACTCCACTTATTTAAAATATCTTGAAAATTTCCAAACCTTTCATATGAGTACAGTTTATTGTAATGAATTAGATGACTTCAAGGAAGAAGGTACAAAAAACATAAAACGAAAGTATTCAGGTCAATAGCTATAATCCAAACTATAATTATTTCATATTTATTAACACAGTTTAACACATACTAAATAAATTTTATATTGATAAGATACATAAACAATAATATATTAGGTACTTACATATTACCCCATCAACTGATAAAATTATCTACCATCGAACTATGATGGTGGAGATTCTGCTAAAGTTGCCCTAATTGTTCCTATACTATTCGGAAGGAAATGACACATCTTTATTTAATAAACAGTCAGTATTCAACCTACTTTGTTTTCACACTTCCTAAAAAGGATTCCTTTGATTTCTACTATTTTGTTAGGCCCAAAAATTTTAGCGGAATCTCTGTTTAGAAAGCTATGGGTACAAACTTCCTGTAGGTAATTCCTTCACTCTATTGTCCTTTTTCATCAGTCATATTCAGCTAACAATATCGTGTTAATTAATACACATTTTGTCATGGTAGAATCACATAATTTTTAAAATAATCCACTGTTTTCTGTTCTATAGAAGGCAGTTCCCAGATTTTAATCATTTCTTTCAAAATGGAGGGGAAATAAAGCAATAACAGTTAATTTATAAGTTTGTTGGAAAAAATCAAAAGATGGTTCATCAAGAATCATTCAAGTTTACACAAAATTAAAGTGCAAATATTATGAGGGTACTGTTACATTATGCTTATCCATAATTGGAGCTAAATCATGCCACTTGGCAAAAGATTCATGGTTGATGGCATAATATATAAGTGACATATTTTTTTTATTTGCCTTATTAAGTAGTTATGCAGAGTTTTCATCTGAACTTTTATTTAAAATGGAATAAAGAAGCGGAATAGCAAAGCTTACTCTGTCCCCTCTGAGAACTCTTAGTACAAACATTTTGCATCAATTCTGATATCTTACTTTCATTATTGTGAATACCTTAATATAAGGCTTTGTAACTGCACAGGTAGGCATAAAATAATTACATTAACTTAATTTATTACAACACTCTATAATTCTGGAATAAGTTATATTAAAGCAAAATATTAATAAAATAAAATATGTCATACTTCTGCCATTAGGTGTCAGTTCTTTATAAAGCTCATCAACTGTAAGATTCGCCATTCCTCTTTCTTTCACAATTTCTGTTAATATAAAGGAAAATAATACTGACTGCTAAATCTTAATTATTTTGATAATTGAAATGTTCATTCTACAAAATTCTAAAAACAAGTGTGAATACAGACAGGCTATGGTTCATAAATAATCAAATACTATCTACATCTGAATAAAATAATATACAAATTCAGTATATAATGATAATAATTTAGAGTTTCAATACATAAAATTTCATGGCTCATATTTTAAGAATGATAAGAAACAGGGTATGCTTAGTTTATATTTTCAACACATTCTGATTGAAATGAAATTAATAGAATTATTAGAAAATAAGTGTCTATTCAGAATTTTTCATGAAAAGAAAAAAAGGAAAAAGAAATAGCTTCTTGGTGTTGTATATGAACATCAAAAGTTTAACTTTGAACCTACCAAACTAAATGGAAATACCTGAAGGAACTTAATCGCTTTCAGTTTTCTACATCTGAATTTGAAAGTATTACTAAATCAAAGCTAGTAAATGAAGAAAAAAAATATTATGCATTTAATATTTTTTCTTTAAAGTATCATCTAAGTACTAAAATGTAGAAAATTTTACCTATTGTAAAATTTAAAAAAAAAATATATATATATTTAAATCTTATATATATATATATATGTTATGGTGAAACACCGAAATCTGGAGAATGTCGACTTTCAACGGTGAATGTCAACATTCACATAGTCGCTTGGTGTATGTCCAAAATATTTTCCAAATACTCTTATTTCTGACTTACACTGGTGAATGTCGACATTCACCATGTACTAATGGTGAATGTTGAACATATAAGAATATTATACTTCCTTCTCCATAATTCATTCGCGAAAAAATGCACTTGAGACTCAGAAAAAGAACATAAGAACTTAAAACACACAGTACATTCAAAATGAGAAAGGGAAATAACAGAAGTTATAAACTTACCAAATTATGTGATTCAAATCTTATTTATTGCAACAACTTAAACTATTATGACACTTTGAATTGCACAAAAGGCCCTTTCTTTTACAACTGCATTTATTTGTGGAACACTTCCTTTTGGAATGGCAGCGTGTACATATACTCCTCTCTTTTCGACCTACACCAGAGCATATCTGGTGAGGGTCCGAATGTACAAGAATGTAAAGAAATATTCGATCTTTCACCGACGTATTTGGTGAATGTTGACATTCTCCAATTTCGGTCTTTTACGGTAACATATATATATATATATATATATATATATAAAATATTACACATTTGATGTTTTCTCTTCAAAGTATCATTTAAATACTAAAGTGCAAAATATTTTACCTATCTTAATATTTACAATATATATATATATAAGCAACTTAACTAATATATACTTTGCAGATATTGCACAAGTATTAGAAAAACGTTTTTTTCGATTTCAATGAATTTCAGTTCATTCAATATATATATATAATTAATGCACAACTTCTATGAATTAAAAGAATTTGTAATAATGTACAACACCTACAAGAAGAAATACACTAATTTGTTAATATCTTGCAAGACAATCTTATTCCAAATACAATCATCAAAAATTCCCTAAAAAAAGCCGGCATTTATCTGTTTTTTTAGATTATTTGAGTTAGATAATGAAATTTTTTCTAAAAACCCAAAAGGGAAGGTGATTAATGGATGGCTAATTTAAATGATCTAATGCAAAAATGTATAGCTTATTTACTCTCACTACTTAAAAATTCTTCTCTACACATTTGGCTCAGTCTTTCAAATCTTGTTATTAATATGTATTATATGTAAAATAATATCTTTTTCTGGCCAAATCTATCCTTTTTATTAAATTTTATGGGCCCTTTTCGTTTCAAAGAAGCTTGAAAGGCCCTCTAGCTTGAAGAATTATGACTTTAACTAACAAAATACTGTATTTTTCCAATTTCAACTACTTTTCTGGCCAATTTTAGCAAGTGTAAGACTGGATTATTCAATTATGACAAAGCACACAAGGGCTATCAGCCTAAAGGGGGGATGCCTTCGTGGAGCACTTTCTAAGAGAAGCTGGCTCATATACATGTTACACATGGGGAAAACCACAAAAATGCCAATGCAAGCAGCCCGTTCGCGGGATTCGAAACTCGGACCGAATTACCAGTGTTCAGCGTCTTTACCGCCCGGCCGCTGGTAGGCCGTACCAAGTGTAAAAATTAGCCATTTTGCATTCACCTTTTCTAACCATTCCTGAATTGACATTGCACAGGACAGACGTCATGTTGAGAAAAACTACCATCTACACCCCCCCCCCACAATTTTTTGGACTCAGGTCCCCTTCAGTTAGTTAGGTTTCATTGGACATTGCTTCCCAACATGTGTTTTTCCCCCTTTGTGTAGTCTCACCTAATTGGTGAATTTAATTCTTATCTTTTTCACTCTTTTCTGTTGCTACATATAACTCCCTCTTTTGCCATTTTTTGGAAACAGCTTCTTGCAGAAAGAAGTCTTGAATTCAAGTATTGTTTTTACATTTCATCTTTTTGTTGTTCTAAATTTGAGTTATAAACTGACCCAATATGAATCTTTTATTATTTAAAAAAATAATTGCTGTTACTACTTTTTTAAAGTTATAACTCTTCAGACTAAGAAGGTTCACCCATAAAGTTTGTGAATATGTTGACTAATAGCAATTCACTATTTATTTTATTGCTGCAAATTTGCCTTACCAGGCTTCTTGTATAGTTTTTCCTGCACAAATTAAGTATTTCTCATATACTTGTTAACAGCGGACGCGTCGGGAAATGAAACCGGGAAATTGAAACTTGGTTTCAATTAATATTTGGATCTTTTTAATAAATAAATAAAAAAAAAAAATTGGCAATCAGTCTCAATGTCCTGTTTGACGAAACGTGTTCTGGAATTAGCAGAGTTCGAAGCTCACCATGCATTTTTCTTGAAAAGTCCATGGTGATATTCGAATTAGGCTAATTTTTCCATTTACCACTGCTTAGTTGTAGTTATTGTTTTTTAACATGATTTTTTTGTAATATTTTTTTCTAATATGTTTTGAGATAGCTTAAACTTTATTCTACATGCATATTAACTTTTAAGTTTGAATCAAGTTAAGCTTTCACCTTTTTCTAATTTTCTTAATTGGTATTTCATACATATTGTGTTTTTTACAATTTGAATTGCAATTGGTTCTTTACTTTGTGTTTATACTACTTTGCAAAGGAACCGAAGTATCACTTTAGCTCATAGGCAATACAATTGGTTCTTTACTTTGTGTTTATACTACTTTGCAAAAGAACCTTTAGCTTATAGGCAATAGTTAGAAGAATTTACTTTTTAATTATATATATATATATAAGCAACAGATGGGTATATTTGAAATATACCTGTTAGATGATAAAGACTTACACAAGGTAGCCTAAAATATAAAATATATTATAGCTATCTTGAATTATCAATTTATATTGTTGTGTGCGAACAGGTTCCTAGTAGACAGAATGCACAAGTCTGATAAAATGTTACCAAAATTTATTTTTATCAAAAGAAATATAACAAAATGCCGGAATTTTCCTCAGCGATATCTGTACAATTGTTCAAAATATCATGCAATATAATCAGTAATTACACTTTACACTACTAAAAATAATAAATAGAATACAATGCAATGCAAAAAGAAAGGTAAACCTATATCATGCTGAACTCAAATAATAACAGCAGCAGCTAATTAAACAACTGAGCTGAGATGTCTCTCTGGCATTTTAAAGCTTTTAATCGGGCACGAGAGAGTTCTAGTAATTTCTTTGCTTCTCGATATTTCTGTAAACTAGCAAGAGAATGGAATTATGGTTAAAGCTAACACAGTAGTCAATTATATTTATTCAATTTAAATACAAATAAAAGAGACATCAATTTATTCAATGTTAAGAGCAAGTGTTTTTATATTTTTACTTTTTCAGTGTAGCTTTTTCTTAAAATTTATCACACGCTGCATTGAATGGGGAAATAAAACAATTTTAATTATAACTCTACTAAAAATATCTAACTAAATACAAAATACGTAACAATATTTTAGACCATGTGTAAAAGCTAAGTTTATGATTGTAGCAAAGTTCTGATAATTTATTCATGTTCTATTAAAGATATAACACTCACTGATCATACAATTAATGCACTGCTTATCATGCATGTCATGTATTATTTCTAATAAAGGATATTAACAGAAAAAAAACATGACTATTACTTACTGAAAAATTATTAAAAACAATTTGTATGAAAGCAATTATTTAATATAAATTACTAATTTATGTCAGTTCATTAATCTAAAAATAACAAATTTAAATTTCTAAAATGATGGAAAGATTATTTCTCTGTTTTGCGGGAAATTTTTTTTTTTTTTTTTTAAATATGGCATATGACAGGAATGCAAACCTCACATCTTGATTTCAAAGAATTTAGCAAATAGTTGATCAAGCCTAATGCAAGAAGACATTTAGCATTCTATAATGTAGCTACATAAGGCATCCTATACATGGCGAATCAGATTCAAAACTGGTAAGTAATTTGGGGAGTTCTTTCAAGTGATATCTTCTATTTTGAATAGTCTCACACCAAAGATCCTCATTGCAAACAAGCCTTGTCATCCATTAGCAGAAAATAGCATCCCTAAATGACCTTATATGGAGTTTCAAGATTTTGTCTACATATCTGTGACCAACTATAGAACATCCATCAGAGATATACAGCTCAGTGTAGCCATTTTTGACAATTTCTTCATAAATTATGAAACAGCTTTTGTTGAAGCAAAACCTTTCATGAGGAAGAGAAGACAAGTTACATACTCCTCGCTCCCTCCTTATCAAAACATGTCTATAATCCCAGTTCAGGTTAATATGTACTTATCAGTGTACAGCACACAGTCAAATTCATTTTGGCTCTTTTGATGATAACATAGACAGCCTTAAACAGGCCTCTTTTGAAGAGGTGAGTAGGATACAAACGACTATTTTTTTTTTCCACGCAAAGTCCAAACACATAAAGCTTCTGTGCAGCAGCTAAATAGTTGATTCAAGTTCCTGTAGGAGTGTGAACATCTAAAACAACTTTATTGCAGTTGCTTTAGAGTTTCTTTAAGCCAGAAATGACAGAGAATGGTACCTGAATGCAGTTGCTGCTAAGGCTGTTTGCTAACTGATTTGCAGCTTAGAAAATGGTGTGAGATAACACTTTGAAGGATAATCAAATCTTGGATGACTTTTATTTGTGTTTGATACCTTTAAAACTATCAGTTAATTGCCGCTTTTGCCATGCTGAAAGAGTAACCTGGCGTTCAGTTCCCATTCTAAAAATTTCCATGTACAACAAATAAATTATATCATAAAATCTAATATAATATGAATTTTCAGTAATATATCTTTCAAGATATTTTTAACAATCCATAAGTAAACATTTACCTACTTCAAAATTTACTACATTTTAATTTAATTACTGTCATAGTAGATTGCCTGCAGTATTATTATTATATTGACTGCTCTAAAATTTATTTCTTGTTAATTTAATAAAGCTGTCTTAAAAGGCAACTAAAATTCAATATTAATTCATGTCACTTAACTTATTGCCAATTATACTCATTCAGTTTTTTAAGTTATAAGGCCCATTTCCACTACTGCGTACGAACACGTTCCGTCTATTGAAGACACACCTACGGCATCCGTACAAGCATTTCCACTGCCGCATATCCGTAGATTATTTTCATTTTCTGCCACTAGGTGTCACTGTAATATTTTGGTGCCAAACAACCAGTTCACGTGTTACAATGCTGACCATCTGAATTTTTCCTGCTTAAGCGAATATTGTTTGTTTTGGATTTGTTACGGATCCTGATGTAAAACGCAGAAAAGTTTTGTTTACTAAATTCCATGTTATTGAAAATTTTTATTTTTGCTTATGAACTGCGAAAGTAAAGTACGCTAGTAATTCTTAGATAAGTAAGGTTATAAAGCATTATTATGAACATCACTAATTGCATTTCCACTATTAATAGAAGCTGAAGTAAATTAAAACAATTTCTTTGCTTTCTAAAAGCCTTAAATAATGATGATATTATTAAAACTAAAATGTACTGTTACTGAAAAAATAAACAAATAAATAAAATAAAAAAGTTAAATGAATTAAAAAATAGTTGGTACTTTAAAAATACAGAGCAACTGTAAAGAAAGGTCACAATATTTACACAAAATTTGCTATGCTTGTATACCGCTGACTTCAGGGTTATAGCTGGATAATATTAGAAAATCTCGTTTGTTTTAAAATGCACTTATGGGGCAGTTATATTTTATGCATAATCCATAAAATAGTATTTTAATTTAAAATTTTTAATTCATATCTCTTTTTGTAAGAAATATTAAAATAAGTTTTCTTTTTATATATAACACATTAGGTAAAGAAAATGGAAATATTTAATTAATTAATTCCCTGCCCTTCTGCTGGAAGGACTGAATTTAAAAGCATTTATTATAGTAATTTTTTGTTAAAAAAAAAAGTGTTTTAGGGCATTAATACTATCTCATGCTAATGGTAATGAAAATTAGAGCCGAAACATCCAAAGTCTGAGCATAGGTATATACATTCACATAAAAGTGAAACGAAAAAAATATATATATATATATATATGCTACAGGGTTTCAAAAAATAAATAGCAAAAGTTAAATTAAATTTAAATAAATAATTCTCTGTTCAATTGCTGCAAGGATGAAATTTGAATTTAACAAATTTCCTATTCGTAAAAAGCAAATTTAAGTTAATTAAATTTAATGAAATTTAATGCAAAAAATAAATGATTAATTATTGATGTGAACTAATCTACAATATCATTTAAATTCTGAAAGCATATGTAAATAAAGTGTCAAAAATCCATGAATAAATATATAATTCCCAAAAATTTATTAAAAAAAATAAAAATGCATAAGTGAATAATAATATAAATAAATTTTTAGAATTATATATCTATTCATGGATTCTGATACTTGCACTTGATTTACATATGCTCTCAGAATTTAAAAAATATTGTAGATTAGTTCACAGCAATAATTAATCATTTATTTGTTTGCATTAAATTTCATTTAAATTTAATTAACTTTAAATTTGCTTTTAACGAATAGAGAATGTTTGTTAAATTCAAATATATATGTAAAGTGTATGCTTTAAATTCGTATTATATTATTTTCAAAATTTTTTGCGGGGAAATGTAAATAAATAAGAGCATAAATAAAACATTACATTTAATGCATATGATAATAGAAATAAATTATAAAACATGAATATAGATCAAACTGGAACAAAAAGCTAAGAAAGTTGCAGAACTCATGACCTCAAAAGTTAAACCTTGTTACCCTCAGCTTTACCACTAAGTTAACATCACACGGGAATGATATGCATATTTTGGCTTATATACATCGTCAAGTAAATCAATTCTTAAAACTAAATTTTTTGGTCCTATTTCAGCATTCTATTGTCTAAAAAATTTACCAGAGTTTGTTCTTCAGCTTCTAGTACATTTTTTACAAAAAACATTATCTTTTAAAGTGGCATTCCGATTGAAGTTGAAAGGGCTGCTAAAAATGTATTCTATGTGCTAACAAATATACGTTAGCCAAAAAGATATACTTTTAATCATATCTGATTTGCTATAGCAGTTTGATATAGTTAGACATTCATTTTCATTAAAGGTAAATGTGTATTCAGAACTAGGAAAGAATTGTCAGGACAAATTTTGCTATTTCATGGACTCGGAATTATAATCTTTGCTGCCGATTTTCTTGAACGCCTGATTTTATCTGCGAATAAGTACTGTAGTTGCAGTTATCTTATTTTTATCTTTTTTTAACTAAATTCAGCTGATTGCTGACTTTTTCAGCGCGCAGATTTCTCACTATAATGTTAATTCAGAAATAAGTATTTTTTAGCAAACATTCTTTCCCTAAGTAAGTCATCGCACTTCTGCCGCCATTAATTTTTGGTGACTACACCTGATTGCTCCTTTTTACCACGTGACTCCAACGCATCTGCAGACATACGGATAGAAGTTGAACATTCTTGAACTCCATCTGTACGTCATCCGTCAACGCACATCAACCGGATTGCAGATGTCAATCAAAGTGAATTCGCTCGCTGATTGGAGAAACGCATACGCAGCAGAGGAAACGGGCCTATATTCTCCATACATGAAGGCAACAGATATTAATAGAAAAATGGGTAACAAAAAGAAAGATGTACAAAACATATTCATAAATTTTGAAATATATGTAAATATTTAAACTAATTGGCACTCACATAAAAGTATAATGAAAGTGCAAAAAGGCTTAAATTTTCCTACTTTTAATAAAGTAAGGCATTTATTTATGATTATTTAGCTAGTTTGATCATAACTATTCCATGGTTTGACAGCTTCAGTAATTTTTTGTACATCCATCGGCACCTATCAGAAAATCAATACTTGATGCACGCAGCCAGCTTATTCAGAGATGTTTGGTTATTTCCTGGCAAATGAATGGAATACCAGCTTTACCCTACCTATTCCTAAAAATAAATGGGCTAACAGTCTTCAGCTGCTTTATTTTACCTTCCTTATTATAGTTATTCTAATAAATAAATATTTCCTACATTCATGCCAAACTCATTTTAACATTACTTCTAGTTCATTCTTTGGTTCTTAAAAATCTAAAACTGGTACTTGTGTATTTAACTGGTCTCCAATGATACAACACTAATGATCTGTTTGTGCCTTTTGATAATGAAACATAGTTAATCATCAGCAAATCAATGGAACCATTTTCCCATTTCCATAGGATGCTGTTTGGGAGTCTCATTCAAAATCTCATTTAAATGGACTATTATTCTCTGCAGCTTGTTTCTGCTTCATGTTAATTCTGCTAAAAAGAGGCATGAGACCTCTCTTGAAGCAGTTCTCAGGCCTTATTCTAACACTCTGTTAGCTATTATCAATGCATAGCTATAGGAAACAAAAGCAGCAGTCTGCACCAGATTGTGTATTTTGGAGGATTTTCATGTAAAACATATTATCGGAATTAGTCAAAAGGGTTTTCAGAACAAAAATCAAAATGGAATTGGAGCAAAGTTCAGTATGATATTGTGTCTATGGATGCTTTTGTAGAAAATTAAAATCCTCAGCAAAGGCCTTGAAAACTGTGAACTGGCTCATATTCACTTCATGAAAGTGGCAGTCTAGCTAGTATCCATGTCATGCATGCATGACTACAATGTTACATATCTATATTACACATATGGCAGCAAGTCTGGTGTTTGGGTTTAAAGCCAGATCAAATAACTAATACTCAGCCATTTTATCCACTCAATCATTCGTGAAGTGAAGAATCACGAGAAGCTGAATTGTCACATGAAATTCAGTTGAAGAGAGAAACGTTTCTTACACTGAATAGAATATTAAAAAAAATTCAAAGAGATTTCAACAGCTTCATATTCTTGCTATGGCTTTCTTACTTCTTTGAATGACAAATGTGAATAAGTGAATCTCAAATTATATAATTTAATGCCCCTTCTACCCTTTTTATAATTTAATTTATTTTTCTCATTGTTATATTATCAATTATTATTGTATTA